AAATGAAAGAAAAAAAAAAAAAAAAAAAAAAAATAAAAAAATTTTATATATATATATATATATATATATATATATATATATATATATATATATATATATATATATATATATATATATAGATACTACCTAATCGGTATTCAAATCAATCAATTGAGCACCATATCTAATATATGATATACATTTATATATATGTCAATATGTGCGTGTGTTTCGTTAAGGGGTCTTCCAATAATTAATCATATATGTATTACATCAACTCTAATCAAGTCTTGAAGAAACTTTAAAGTAACTTGAATCATGACAATGAGTGTATTGGTTCTCCGCCAATTGTTTACTATTTTTTTTTTTTAATGTTCTGTCTATTTCCCAAGAACTTAGAACATTGTTCAAAAGATCAAGATCACACAATAGACGAGAGCTTAGTGCTGAGTCTTTTTTTTCAAAAAAATTGTGACGATTAAGACTCGTCCCTTATCCTCGTTTATTTTTTAACATTATATGGGGAATTGTAGATTAGCAGTAGACACAATATATTATTATTTGCCACTGAACGCGTAGTTTAGCTGGTGAGAGATTTTTCTAGCTTAACCAAGATCCTCGGTTCAAGACTTGGGAATGTAACTGCGTTTAGTAGGGAGAGTTTTGCCGCTCTTGTGGTCCTACCCGGCTCGAATCTAAATTAGTCAGAGCCTGTTGTGGCTACCGAATACCAAATGGTTTAACCAAAAAAAAAAATATTATTATTTTCTAACATGTAAGAACAAATTAATTTGGGAATTATCTTTAAAAAAAGGGGTTGAACTTATATATTAAAAGTATATATGTGGTGTACATGCCGTGGTGAGTAACAAGTCATCTTCAAAATATGGTAGCCAATCATAGACCAGCTAATATTGTGTCAAAATACAACAATAAAAATCCAGCTAAGGTTCATAAATAATGCCAAGACGGGGACCCATTTTACATTTTTGGAAAAAGATCTCTAGAACTCTCAAGGGTTAACATGACCCATCTAATCTGTGATTGCTGATGTTATATAGGGAATAAAATGTCTTTTGCAACAAAGCTACGGCTACTGAGTATGGCGTCGGGGAGTAAATAATGAATGCTAGGTTGAGGCCCTTAGCTCCGTTCCTCTCCAACTTTTTTGATCTATCCTTAGAAGTAGGGCGAGTGACTCTGTTCTTTTCCGTTGAGAAAGTGAGATATGCAACCAAATGCTTTTACTGTATACTGTTTGTATTATTAGACCAACAAAAGTTTTCAGCATTATTGTGCCTAAACCTTGTCTCCCTTAGCAATATATTTACATGGCTTTATATATATATATCAAACAAAACAACACTTTATTTCATTTCTCAAAAAGTGTTACAATGAAAACAAAAGTAGACAACCCTGCTTTTTACAACATATTTAAACCAAAATCTGAAAAGCCAAAAATTATTGAAAAGAATCAAAGAATGACTAGTAGTTCACACAGAATCTGAACAGACTGCATCTTCCCCATAGTCGCATATCAGCAGTCTTCCAGCTCTCAGAACAGGGAGACTTCTCTGATCCTGCAACAGCAGCACCCTCACAGCAGCAGATCAGTGGAAACAGAAACAGAAACAGAAACAGACAGATCAGTGGAAAATCTGTCCTGAACTGCTTTATTTGCCAAGCAATCGGCTACCGCATTTGATTCTCTGAACACATATCTCAACTGAAAGTCCATACATCCCAAAAGTTCCTTAATTTGATCAAGGAAACTCAAGCAATGCCAAACACAACCACCTTTTCCTGACACAGCATTCACTAGGACTAGTGAATCTGATTCAATGAAAATCTTATACACAAATCAGCCATAATCCCTTATCAATTTCAACCCATCCAGCAGGACCCTAAACTCAGCTACCATATTAGTAGCCTCCCCATAATAAAAGGAACCAGCTAGAACCACTCTCCCCCACTCATTTCTCAAAACAGCACCCCTTCCTGCAGGAGCTGGATTCCCCTTTGATGCCCCATCCACATTCAGCTTTAACAAACTACTACATGGTCTATCCCAACAAATCCAGGCTTTAGTCACCACCCGATAGGATACCTTAATCTTAAGCCATTGTAAGAAACACAAATCCTTCCCCACATCCTGCACCTTGGCCTTAACATTCTTCCCTTGATACCTTAGAAGACTACAGATTTTTAAGAACACAGAGTAGGAGTTCAAATGACCTTCCCCTGCAATTATCCTACACCTCTCTTACCAACAATGGAAAACTTCTAACGAAGCCATGAACTACAGACTGCTTCTTAAACACCCTCCCCAATCTCTTAAACATTACAAAAGGGCATTCGCCTGCTATGAACTGAGAACCCACCAAGCCAGCCAATCTTCTCCAAATCACTTCAGCAAATGCACACCCAACAAATAAATGCTCAGAAATTTCAATATGCTGATAACATAAACGACACCTGCTTACAACTGGAATACCAAGGTTTTGAACATTAGAGTCCATAGGGAGAGCATTTTTCAAAATTTTCCACCCCACTAATTGGGTAATAGGTGCTGTTCTGACACCCCAAATCACTGCAGCAGTCTCATCCCTCTCCCCAATCTGCCTGCTCACCTGCCAGGCAGACTTGATAGAGAAGGCTCCAGAACAGGACCTCTGCCACACCATTCTATCAGGCATCCTATTTAAAAGGATCCCAGAACTCAGAATCCACTGCTTAAGCTGAGGACTCAGAAACCCTTACACTGAACTTAACTGCCAATGAGAATCCAGAACAAGCTCAGAAAGCATAGGAAAATACAGAGGTGTACCATCAATTTTACTCAGTAAAGGACCATCCCCAAACCAGTTGTCACACCAAAAATCAGTGTGATTTCCATACCCCACCACCATTCTGGACTGCACCACCACCTTCCCAAATTAAAGCCTTAAAACCTCACAACACTTAAAATAACTCTTCCCTAAACTTCTCAACGCATGCTTCCCTTTCAAAAACTTAGCAGAAAAAACTTGAGCCATAAGGAAGACACCTGCCTCATTCTATATATACATATATGCACGTCCACATATACATATATCTATGTATCAAGAAAGTTCTAATCTAGCAAGTTAAAATTTTGCACCAACCAATATATTATATAGATTCCAGTTGCCTCTATTAAATCACATATTACAGGTCCTATTACGGTACCGAAAAGTCTCGTACCTCTACTTTTCATTCATTAAAAATTTACCATGTGCAAATTTTTGATATTTTATTACTTTTTACTACTTTAACATTTTCTCAATTAATGGTTGTAAATCATTCAAAACAAAATCAATAGCCAGGATGGATTTTGGTGCAATAGTGACTTCGGTACCAAGTCAATACCGTAGCCTTATGCTATATTACATAATGCTATATTACTCTTGTCATTGGAAAAAATGTTGCCCGAGATTAAAATGGGAATTGAAGAGACCACCAATGTCCCCCCAAAAAAAAAAATTAGCAAACAAGCATCCACGGGTTCACCCTGTGGTAAGCTCAAAAAATGAATTTCTTCTTTTTGTGGTGGTTAACAAGATGATTTATCCGTTGTTTTCTATTATCTCATTGTCATGATAAAGCTATAAATCACAAGTCTCAGTTCAGTCTAACCCGTTTCATTTATTTGTGCTAGCGGGTAATGTCATTTTCAAGTTTGCATTGAGAACCAACAAAAGTTGCCATCTTGAGGTATGATCACCCTATGATGTTGATAACAAAAAACTAAGCCCAAAAGGATAATAGTGGTCTGATAGAACTCATGTTCCTTGCACTTAACAAAAAAAAGCACTTGTTCCTAAACTTCTAAACAAACTAATCTGAATTTGCTGTTCTAGAGGTCATATGTCATACCAACTTTCAGCATTCTCTCACGAGGAATATCAAACACCTTGTTGCTTTGCCTCAAGTTCCTCTCCAAGAAAGTATAAGCATAATTTATCAAAATCCTCTTCCCTATGCCGGCCCGTTTTCCGGCCACCACTTCATGCTCCCCCACCAAGTGAACCACCCCAGCATCCCATGCTTTTTCCAACACTTCAATCTCTCTCTCCATTGCCTCTTTTTTCTCATTATCGACTCGAATTGCATCCTCAACCACATTGTCACCATTAACTGAGGCTTCATCTGTTTCCCCTTCCTTTTCGGAACAATCTTGGTTGTTGCAAATCATGGTAGAAGACATGAAATCATCTTTGATGAACTCTTTTAGCCTCTCGACCAACATTTTTTCGAAGGGCTCTTGCTCATTGTGTGCATCGGTGTATCCATACCTTACGACACAACGAAACACATTGAGATCATTTGGTTGGACACGGCGAAAGAGGAATCGTTCCTCCACTCGAACTTTGCTGATTGGTAAAGATTTGATCGAAACAAAGACGAGGACAGAGTGCAAAGCAGGTATATTTGCCACATAGTGCTTGAATATTGGTGGGATGCCATGAACAAGCTCTGAATAGAAGACAGCAAGTCCAGGTATTCGACAAAAGTTCGTGTCAACAGCTATCTCTTTGAGCTTTTCTGGAGAAACCTTGTGATCTAGCTCGTAATGGTATTTCATCCTGTAGACATCGTTCCAAATGTACATGACAGCCATGAAAAATATAGCGAACGCCAATGGGAGATACCCTCCTTGATCGAATTTATAGAGGACTGAACTGAGATAGAGAAGCTCAACAGTGCCAATGACAAGGACATAAGAGATGATTAGTAGTATATGACTTTTCCATATCATTATCATGATGAGCACCAAGAATGATGAAGTAAGTGTCATCACAAAAACCACAGCCATCCCTGCATAGTAAGAGAAATAATCAAAAAGGTGTTTTGAACTCTGCTGTATATCTTTTTATCAGATTAATAAAATTACATTCCTACCAAAAAAGAAAAAAAGATTGTTTTGAAGGTGATCTAAATAAAGATTATATAAAGAATAGGTATATGAATGTGAAGGGATGATTTACCATATGCATTGCCAATCTTTTCTGTAGTTCTGAATCCGAGAGTTACTCCTACACAAGCTAGCATAAGAAGATAATTGACTTCAGGTACATAAACTTGTCCTTCATACTTAGCCGATGTATGAACAATTTTCACACGAGGAAAGCACCCGAGAGAGAGGGATTGTTGGACCATAGAGAAAGTCCCCGAGATCATGGACTGACTTGCTATTATTGCTGCCAAGACAGCCACCACAAACGTAGGCCAATATATTGGACCTGCATCACATCTAATTGCCAAAATTAGCGACTGTATCGAGCTGAAGAGGGAACTACTTATGTTAAAACTCTTTCTAATAGCTTAAACTTCTAAAAAAGAAATTGTTATTTGACACACTGCTCACCTGGAATGGACTTGAAGAAGGGATCGGAACCAAATTCGTTGTGCTTGTGAAGGAACGAGGCTTGTCCAGTGTATGCTAATATGATTGAAGGGTAAATCAAGGCACACATGCTTATCTGTATTGATCGAACAGTGAAGTGGCCAACATCTGCAAACAATGCCTCACTTCCTGCATTTCGAAATTTATAGTTAAAAGATTACTTTTTTCAAAAATTGCAAAGAAAATTAAAAATAAAAAAGATTTAGACAATTGAAGAGAGAGCAAATTGTAACCTGTTGTGCAGAGGATGATGCCACCAAGGGAAATCCATGCTTCCTTTTTGTTCCTCTTGAAATAATCTATTATGTATAGGGGATTGATAGCTTTGATGACTGTTGGATCATGTCTGAAGAAATTGTACAATCCGGTCACAGCGATGAAGATGAACCAAACACTAAGTATTGGAGCAAAGCTATAGCCCACTTTATCAGTTCCAAATCTTTGAATCATGAACAGGAAAATTAAGATGGCGACCGTTATCCAAACAATTCGATCTGGAAAGGAGATAAAAATGTTACTAAATACTGGAAAAGGTCTTCTTATCTATAGAGAAATTTATACTGTAATGTGATATTATTTGATTTTCTGAACAAATTAGTTAGAAGTACCTCCATGATTTGCCCAAAAATAATGTAAACAGACTTAAATCTCCAATAAAACGAAGCAATAGTTTTATGATTCAGAACAATGCCCACAATCATAGTCCAAATCATAGTCCAGCTCCTTTCATCTGTCCAATTTACAAAAGGTCTAACTACTTACCCAAGCTAGCTTGAAAAAAAAAAAAGACTTTCTGAACATTTCTGGAGAAATCAAACTCAATAAATTCCTCAGAGAAGAGCAAGATTCCAAATTAAAGTGAGCCATTTGGGATTGGGAAAAGCAAATGGTTTAAGAAAATGGGTGTTCAACACTTCCAATTTGTTTGCATTTGAGCAGTCACAACGAATTCAATGCATATATAATACAACAATTTAGTTATGGAAGAGGAATAGGTTGTATCATTGCAATTCATGTACCTTCTGTCATGGTAGATGTAGCCTCCTTGATCCCTCCAACTGCTGATAAAACTGCCAAGCGTAGTTGGAATATCAGAAAATCTACTTGTCAGAGCAAAAACTCAGAAGCCATGCGCTAAACTATATAAGTAATTATGTCACACATCTCTCAAATCTTAATCTTTTAGATGAGCAGGTAGTTTAATATGTCACCGGACAAATGTAAAAGTTGCATGTGAGTGGCCAAAAACCTGGATTGTATATGCAAAACATAAGTATTAATATACTTCAAACGTGCAAGCATGCTTGTTGAGAGACAGAGTTATCAGTATTTATCAAATCTATTCCTATCTAATGGAATGCTATGGAATCAAATACCAAGGCATTGCTGAGAAAAAAGAAGTAGATGGCTTTTAGACAAAAATTAAAATTTTCTTTCAACTGGGACAGGAGTGTTTCCAAAGTTCTAATTGTCATCAATTCTGAAACTGATGTATAATCCAGGAACATGATACAATTTCCGAACTTAAAACAAATTTAAAAACAGAGTGAAGTGTGTGAGTGAACCTGAGATGCAAGGAGTGAAGACACCATCTCCAATCACCATGGAAGTACCAAGCATTGTGGCAGACAATAGGAAGTACTTGGCAAACTTGCTCTTCTCTAGCTTAGACTTGAGCCATGATGCTCGTCGCAGGCGGTTATTGGGCAACTCTAGCTGAAAATTCGACACGTCTCGATCTTCTGCTTCTTGACTTGGGATCAATCCCACCTTGGCATGGCGGCATATCAGAGAGTACAAAGCAAATGTTCCTCCTTAGAAGGTGTTGCCACATATCAGTGCACAATGAAGAATTAAAAGAATGACTTTTTTAAAGAAATAAAAATTTTCTGGTTGTTAAGCAAGTTAAAAAAAATGTACAAGCAAGCAGGAAGGTAACTTTCATAAGGAAGCCAAGTAAAACAAAAGAAAATAAAAAAGAACATAAAAGAAATTTCATATAAATCATGATTGAGGTGACACAAAATATGTCAATTTTATTTCCCAAAACAGAAAGACAAAAAACTGATCTAAACCAAAAAATTTCAAAAAACAAAAGAAATTGTGCATGATTATATCAATCTAACTAGGGGTGTTAAAATATGACACTACCTATTAACTTGACACGAATATGACACGCAATTAAAGGCTTTAAGCCTTTCTTATGCCACCTTCGTAAACAAGTGAACCAGACATGATGAGTAATAAATGAATCAAGTATGGGTCACGATACGACTAATTTATATACCGATATCATATACAGAACATGAATGTGATATGATCAATTTGTTCGATGCGAATTAATAAGTTAATAAGCGTAGGAGTGAAGTACTTTTCGAATAAACAGAGATGGGTTCTTGATGGAATCAAATAAATTAGGTATCTCAAAACAAGATTTAGTTCATACAATTCTAAGGTACAACACCGATCACATTATATAGGCTCATTTCTCAAACTTCATGGAAAAATCAAGACTCCCTGTCTAAAATCTAATTTTTTGGATCTGTCCCAAAATAGGATGAATATTTGATGAAGAACACATGAAATTCCTTATAGTACATAGGTATCTATCTTAGTTCTTACCATCACCATTGTCGTTCGCACGTAGGACGATGAATACGTACTTCAATAGAGGTATCAAAGTGAGGGTATAGAGGATCAACGATAAAACACCAAGAATGTCATCGTTGTGTTTGATTCCATTGGGGAAAGTGCTTCCAATGGTGTACAAAGGTGACGTCCCAATGTCCCCATATACGATCCCAATGCTCTGAAGGGCTAGATAGAAGATCACTGACCACGGTGCATCGCTGCCAAGACGACGATAGCCACCAGGAATCTCGCCGGATTCAACGTCCAACGAGTCGTGTCGTCTCAGCTTGTGTGAAGAAATTATACGAGGAATTTCCTTCTTACTTTCTTCTCTAATACAATTTTCTGAATCAAGAATTGCTGTGGCCATTGTTGAATATAGGGGAGGAAATTTCATGAAGGTTACAGGAAACTACGTATAGAAAATCAAAGTTCAGGTGGGAAAGTAATCTGGTGCATGGGAACTAACAATGTTTGTTTTCTTGGGACTGTGGATACTGCTACGAGTGTGCTTATCAAAGTTTGTTATATATAGCCGAATGACACTTTATACCCTAATTTTTTTTTAAATTTCCAAATTAAATTCTGAATTATTAAAATTCCCGCATTACACACTCAATCGATTAAAAAAGTTGTTGTGTGGTGCGTTATAACTTATAACAAAATTCAGTACAAAGTTTTTGTGTAACATACTTTGAATTGAGTAATATGTAAATGATTGAATATAAAAATACAAAAATATCACCAAAACAAAAAAAGGGTTAATTGCACTATAAGTCTCCAAAGTATGATTTTATCTCATTTTGGTGTTCAATATTTTAATTATATCATTTTAATCTATAAAGTATTAAATATATTTTTATATGAACTCTTAGGCAAACAATATCCAAATTGCTAATAATTTATATTTTTTAATAATTTTTTATTATAAACTTGTCAAGTAATAACTAAATATGGGCAAAAAAACTATGCTGATTTTGGTTAAGAGCTACCTATATTATGCATTTTTGGTCAAGACTTACACAAATTTTGGTCAAAAGATATCCAAATTATATTTTTACTCATATTTAAGTATCGTATGATAAGTTTATGATAAAAAATTATTATTAATTTGGATGTTATCTGTTTGAAGGACCACATAAAAATATTCAATATTTTCAGAGATTAAAACAATACAATTAAAATATTGATGATCAAAATGCGACAAAAGCTATACTTTTATAACTTCCAGTATAACTAACCCAAAAAAAAAAAAAAAAATTTGACCGGCGCAAAGGACATACGGTTCTATATTTTATCCAATTTAAAGGTGTAATGTGAAAATTTTAATATTTTAAGATATAAATTAAAGGATTGAATATCTTTTAAGGTATAAAAATATTATGAAATATCTATATAACAACATAGCTCACAAGTTGAATTTTATCTCTCACAAATTTTCTCCTTTAAAAAATCACATTACCCATTTCTATCACATGTCTAATTATTTTAATATTTAATTAATTTATAGTTTAATATTTTTTTTCTTTCAAACATTATTCATACATGATAGTATACATTTGTTGAGAAATTTTTTTCGAATTATGTATTTTAAAAAAATTTGTTGACATTTTTAAGTAAATAATGGATAAACATTGATTTTAATGATGTAATCAAAGAAATGAAGGAAACAAATTATTATTTAATATAATGGAATAAATTTTTTAAAACATTTTAATTTTATATTTTATCATACCTTTAAACACGAATTACGATAAATGTATAGATATCCGAGATACATGGAATGCATATCAACATGTTCCTTCTAGAACCGATCATCCCATTATTTCTGCCCATAGACCGCTGGATCTATCAACGTGTAAGCAATCAATGCGACGGTGGAAGGACCGGAATGTTTGAGTTGGCTATTAAAGTTGTTAATAGATTGAGTTATGATCCGAATTTAATGTGTGTTGGAATTAAATCAGCGTGATTTTTTTGACCAATTATCCAAATATGTAAAATTATATTTTAATGATTTTTATTTATTTGGATATGATTCCAATTATAATATTTATTTTAATATATAATAAAACTGAATAATTATTTGATTGAATTTAATTGATATTAAACTATATTTTCCCAAATCGTAACTCTAATCGAGTTATTTGGATTAGATTATATTCGATTTTCAATAAATTTTAATTTTAAATTGTGAAAATTAATTCTAGTGTCTAGGTTTATCTTAGGGTGGGGCTATTCTCTCATTCCCCCACAAATATCTTTTTCCACTTCGTTAAACTACTAATTATAAAAGGAAAAAGGGACTAAAGGTCTGTGCGCAAGAAGATAAGGAGTGTTCAACGTACTTTTTACCTTGACTCTTTATGCCATTTATAGAATCTTTTATAATTAGGGTTTTCATAATTTTTGATTCAAGGTGATACACCTTTCTTTAATCAGGTAATTCTGTTCAGAAAAGTTGTTGATATCTTTGTAACAATTCCTTCTACCGAGCCTACGATCATGCCCATTCGTTTGACCAGAATGCTTGAATTATAAACATCTCTTTAGCACCACATTACTGTTTTAAACAACTCAATCGTGACAAGGACCGAGCTCATTCCTGTAAAGATAATTATAGATTTTAAGCACAGATTTATAATTAGAATTAAGAACTATTGCTCTTGAATTTTTGGCCAAATCAACAAATATTAGAATTCTGATCTGAGCAAAATAATTTTAAGTGTTATAATTCGAAATAAAACATGCAAACAATAGTTAGATCATATAACATGCAATCTAAATAAAACACATAAAATGTATAAACATGCAATTTATATAAACTAAATAAATGAATTTGGAATGAGCTGGCCTGCGAGTCCGAGAGGCATGTGATCACTATCCTAAAGCAGCTGAGCCTCCCCACATGAGGATACTGACGAATACTAGCGACTTCATGATCCAACTCAGACGCTCGCAGCAGCACCTTCTCAATGGTTACGTCTACTGGAAGGTTGGAATGAACCTGACTCGAATCGAGTTGCCCAAAATAAAATAAATGATAATTGAAAAGTAGGCTGAGTGTAAAAAAAAGAATAGAAAAGGTAGGCCAAAGTGTAAAGGAAGGAATTGAAAAATAGGCCAAAGTGTAAAAGAATGATATGAGCTATTGGAAAGTCTACCGAGCAATAGAAAGTGTTAATTTTGTACACTACTAAAAAGTTTCTCAAATCCACCTTTATATAGTCGTTGTATAACCCATGACTTTCAAAAACCACTTTAAATATTTGACCGTTTGACTTTGGCCCTTTATCTGTAACGTGTAATTGATTTTTATTCTTTTTCATTGTTTGTCTTGAATACCTATAAAACTAATAATAATTATTATTCTTTAATATATACACTAAATAGGGAAAAAGAACTATAACTGAAATTCATAATTTAAACATAATTAAAAATTTTTAAAAATTTAATTTTTATTTTTACAATTCCTTCTTTTCCGAGCTCTTTTAACACCTGAGTTATTATCTGATGACAGTCTAGTGTTGTCTTTCTCACGTGATTGGTGTTGTCACACGCGTCGTAAAGGGAACACCCCCCCCCCCCCCCCCCCTCTTTTTTTTTTTAAATTTTACAGTCAAACGTGTTTGGACTAACTTACGTATACCTTGATTAATCCCTTTTACAGTAGGACTAAGTTATTCATGAGGGATTAANTTTTTTTGTCAATAGTTTCTACGGTCAGAAGATTTCTTTGACTCTGCATGCCTGACATTTTCTTTTCTTAGAAGTGTGAAATAAAAGTATAAAAAAAGAAAAGAAAAAATGTTGCACCATTATTCTGTATTAAATTCACACTTCCCATTAAAAAGTCATCTTCTAATTTTGTGTCTTCCATGTTTCTTCTATTAATGCATTCATTGAATTTTTTCAATCACACACACACAATTATACGCACATTCACAATATTTGAGATGTATATTTTTTAATGCCTTTTTTTTTTTTTTTTTCATTTTTAGAGAATTTTTTGTGTCAAATTTATCCTTCTAAAACGAAATCTGATTATTACAATGGTCTAACTTTTTCTGATTATACAATGACATCATTCTGAAAGAAATCAAAGTTTATCATTCAGGCAAATTCGTGTGACATATAGTGAAAATCAATGTTATGTTAATATATATAAGTTCATGTTATATATAACAAAACTTAAAGTTTTATTAACAAAGATAAATTGATCTAATATAGTTTTAAAAGTCTAAGATTTATTAAAATTGATCAACTCAAAACAAAGAATTATGAAAATTGAAGTTTATAACACAGATTAATTCATATGTTACATATAATACAAATTAAAGTTTTATTAAAACAGATAAACTTTCATAAAATATCATCAAAAATAAAATTTATCATCCAGATAAATTCATGGTACATAAGAAATCAAATGTTCATTAATACAGATAAATTCATAATAAAATAATCAAAATTTTATCTATGTTACATGTGAGAAAAATTAAATGTTTATTGACACATATAAATTAACCTGAAATAGTTTTGAAAATGTAAGACTTATTAAAATAGATAAGTTGAAAACAAAAGAATCATTGAAATTAAACTTTTATTAAAACAGATAAATTCACCTAAAATATCATCAACAACAAAGTTTATAATACGGATAAATTCATGTTATATATAATGACTATCAAAGTTTTTTTAAAATAAATAAATTCAAAACAAAATAATAATAAAAAAATTAAGTTTATCATATAGATAAATTCATCGCTTCAACTTTTTTTTTATTGTCAATATTGAATAGTTGATAGTCAAAATTTTGATATCTTCCATGACTAAAAAAATGTTTTCAATGATTTAGAATTATAGTCTTTCAAGCAAAGAGACTCAAGTAGTACCAATCAAACACATGTATATATATAAGTCTATGATATATATATATATATATATATATATATATATATATATATATATATATATATACACACACACTTAAGCAAAGAGACTCAAGTAGTACCGATCAAACACATGTATATATATAAGTCTATGATATATATATATATATACACACACACTTAATCTAGTAACGATCAAATATTTACATGAATCTAAAATTTTGAATCTAGTAATGATCAAGAGCAGCTCAAGAACATATGATGCCTAAAGCGATAAGTGCTAATGATGTTTTATTTTTTTTATTAATATTTTAAAATTTTAATTTAAAATTTATTATTTTTATTTCTTGAGATTCAAAATTACTAATTAAATTTTTTTATTCAAATTATGCGAACATATTTTTTGAATTGGTAGTATGACATTTTTTTTTTGGAAGGTAATATAAATATTTTGATAGGATTATAATGTATTACCTCTTTA